GTGTGATCTACGGATACGCTGTTATGTTTGATTTCATGAGATGTTTAGGACATTGTAACGTTGAGATCTTCTCTCACAAGCTGTTCGAGATGCTTCCAATCCTACGATATCTCATCTACACTCCAACGTATGTCTTGATAACGTTTAACTTACCTTACTTGAAATGTTTTCACATGTCAATTTTTTTTTTTTGTTGCTATGTTTAGATTTAGTTACATCTCTATCATAGGTTTTAATAAAAAGGATCTATAACTTTATTCATTGAATTAGGAAACACAAACGTGACTTTGTCATATTTTACTCTAAGAAGCAAATATGCCAAGTTTGTGTTTGCTGTCAAAGATGTCTATAGAAAGTAATTGGTGGTTTGGTTTTACATTTACTGCTTACACAAGGCAATGATTTAAATGCTTAAAAGTTGATATATTTTCTTGTTGGATGGGGATTATGCAGGTACCATAGTCTGCATCATCAAGAAATGGGGACCAACTTTTGTCTATTTATGCCTCTCTTTGATGTTTTGGGCGATACACAAAACCCAAACTCATGGGAACTCCAAAAGAAGATTCGTTTGAGTGCAGGTATTTAGCAAAAATTAGTCCGAACCAAGTTTTTAGTTTTGCAGATTTAACTCAAAAAGCAGAACATACAAAGTCAGATTCTTTTTTTGTTGCTATAAATTACGAGTACCAAACAGTTTATGCCAATTAATGAGGAGATATTTAGTAGTGTGTAGCAGAAGTGGGTGAGACTTTCAAAGTCAAACCTTTGAGCGTAAAATGACATTAATACCCCTTCCTCGACTTCAAAATTACAGTTTTTTATAACCAAGCTGATCTTTCCACGTGCAGGGGAACGGAAGAGAGTGCCGGAGTTCGTGTTCTTAGCTCACGGAGTTGATGTGATGTCGGCGATGCATGCACCGTTCGTGTTCAGATCGTTTGCTTCAATGCCATACACTACGAGGATTTTCTTGCTACCGATGTGGCCATTCACGTTCTGTGTTATGTTGGGCATGTGGGCTTGGTCAAAGACTTTTCTTTTCAGCTTTTATACCCTTAGGAACAATCTTTGTCAGACTTGGGGAGTTCCAAGATTCGGATTCCAAGTATGTCTCTTTTTCTTTCTTAGTTTTGCCCTAATATCTCCTCTTGAAAACAGAACGTTTTGAATAAAGTCTTTTCCTTTATTCTTGCAGTACTTCTTACCGTTTGCTACACAAGGCATCAATGATCAGATCGAGGCTGCGATTCTGAGGGCTGATAAGATTGGTGTTAAAGTTATAAGCTTGGCTGCTCTCAATAAGGTATCTAAAAAAACTCTTCAACTTTTGTGTGAGTGATTCATATCTAGAGTCAAGTCACTAAAAGGGTTATTTTTGTTTTGGGTTTTGATCAGAACGAAGCTCTAAATGGTGGTGGAACACTGTTTGTAAACAAGCATCCTGACCTTAGAGTTCGTGTGGTTCATGGGAACACTTTAACTGCAGCAGTGATTCTCAATGAAATTCCAAAAGATGTGAAAGAGGTTTTCTTGACTGGAGCCACTTCTAAGCTGGGAAGAGCCATAGCTCTTTACCTTTGTCGCCGTGGAGTGAGAGTTCTCGTAAGTTTTGTTACTACTCCTTTAATTAACTATTGTCTCAAACATACCTTTACCAAAAGAATTCCAAAGGCTGACAATTTCTGATGTTTGGATACTTGACAGATGTTGACATTATCTGTGGAAAGGTACCAAAAGATTCAGAAAGAGGCTCCAGTTGAGTTCCAGAACTACCTTGTACAAGTGACCAAATACAATGCTGCTCAGCACTGCAAGGTACTGTAATGATTTTTAACTTGTTTTGGTTTGTTGGGTTTAGTGTAAATGTACTAAATTTGGAGAGTTTAAATATATGTATACACAGACTTGGATCGTTGGAAAATGGTTAACACCAAGAGAGCAGAGCTGGGCTCCTGCAGGGACGCATTTCCATCAGTTTGTGGTGCCACCGATCCTCAAGTTTAGACGGAACTGCACTTACGGCGATCTAGCAGCTATGAAGCTCCCTAAAGATGTTGAAGGACTCGGAACTTGCGAGGTATAAAGAGTGATTGGTTGATAAATCAAGTCTTGTTTGTGTTTTTAGCCTAAACTGTGTATATATGTGGCAGTACACGATGGAGAGAGGAGTGGTGCACGCGTGCCACGCAGGAGGAGTGGTTCATATGCTTGAGGGTTGGAAGCATCATGAGGTTGGAGCCATTGACGTTGACCGTATTGATTTGGTGTGGGAAGCAGCCATGAAGTATGGTCTTAGCGCTGTTTCTTCACTCACAAATTGAGTGAAGAGAGAGACACTTTTCATTGTTGTCTTTGGCTCTCCCAAGATTGGCCATTCTTTGTACAGGTGAAAAGGTTGCAAGCAGGAAAAGAAAAATTAGAATTTCACCTTATGTTATTGTTTTACCTTTTATTAATGATGTATTCCTTTTTTTTTTAGATTTCCTTAGTACTAATATATATGCACCTCATTTCCAAGAAAATTCAACAAAGCTTTAAATTATCCAGCTTCTCTGTTTGGTACTTCGGACAATCAGACAGCCATTTGTCTTCAATGTCGCTGTTCAATGTACATTTAATCTGATTAAACATATTAGTTGTTGAATCAAGTGGACTAAGTACCAAACAGAGAACCTTAAATTATCCAGCTTGATTTGCTTCTCTGTTTGGTACTTAGGACAATCAGACAACAAAGTGTCTTCAATGTTGCTGTTCAATGTTGCTGTCTTCTATACATTTAATTTGATTAAACATTATTAGTTGTTGAATCAAATGGACTAAAGAACTTGGTGAAAAGCTGAGAATGTGGTTTGTTCTGATAATGAATTTTTAAGGTAAAAGTTTCATTGAAGATTTCGAATCCAAACAATTGTTTATACTTTATTACAAACACATTCTCTACATTAAACCAACCAAAATCCCACAATAACAAAAGAGACAGAGGATGAAGAGCTAAACTTTAATTTGCTCAAAGAAACATCTGCTTAAGGTTCTAAAACAAATGCAGAAGAAAGAGATTATTTTACCTAATTAGAAAAGAGACCCTCATGATCTGACTAACCCTTGAATCGTTCCCAAAAAGTGGCCAAGAAGATCAAGAGATGAGAGATGAGAAGAAGAATGGAAATGACGATCAAAAAGATACCAAGCTGCCACCATTTCCTCCTTACCGATCTTACGAATCCGAATTTGCAAGATCTACAATCATAGCACAAAATGCTCCAATCATTCCTCCATAGTTGACAGTCGCTTATCCTTCCCACCATCATCTCATCACCATACATTAGGGTCATAGATGACGGTGGTCCTTCGTCTTTTCTTCTATACCAAAACGTTGCGTTTATCGCATCCATGTTACATGTCTCTGGTGGCATACAACATCCATTCTGTAACAACATCAAATGAAAACAAACTCGTGTAAATACAAAAATGTTTGTAAAATCTTATACAAAACGTATATTTGATGTTATCGGTATATTGTTCGAATGTACTAATTGTACATTTTAAAAGAGGGTCTTGAGATCAAAGAATATATATATCTATATGATGATCAAACCTTGATTGGTGGCATATTTCTTCTATTGTAAGGTTTTTCATTTGGAGATTCATAAATGAGGTCGTTGCAAGCTCCTTTATCATAGATACATGATTTGATATTGTTCCAATTCACATCGTCCATGATTTTGAGCTTGAACCACATCCTAGTCGCCGGAAACCGCCGGCTCTGCATCTCATTTACTCCGGCATACGCCAAACCGATGAAAAGCATTAGCAACAAGATCACCACCATCACCACGAGTGCAGGCATCGGAAACTTCCGCCGCAAAAACAGAGCAGCGTTGCTGACAACGAACACCGCGAGAAGACCGACGCTAGCTAGCGTCTGGACACGTGGCAGACCGAGAATATCTTCGCAGTCGTAGCTACGCATGTAAAGGAGCCACACTGCGTAGCCGAGGAGTGTAAGTGAGAGGACGAAAGTGAAGATTGGAAGGACACCGGCGGCTAAAATGTTCACAAGTGCCACCAATGTTCCAACCGGTGGCTTATTATCACTCTGTGACTCCATTTTGTCTGAACTATTGGCTTCTGGCTCAGTCGTTGTGGTTGCTGTGGCTGTGGCGGTTGCGGCTGGTTCCTCGACGGGTACTACTTGGGCATTATCAGCCATATGAAAGTGAAAGAAAGCTCTCTATGGAGGTGTTGAGTTGATATGAGGACATGTATATATAGAAACAGAGAGATCATAAATATAGGTGAGTGAGTGTGTCTGTGGTGGGTTTTACAGAGTCAAATATGTAAGTTGGAGATAAATAAGTTCACTTTAATTAAGTACAACGAGATCTTGTCCGAAGATAAATTATCCATAAGATTTTTTTTTTTAAAAGTATAAATTCATTACAGTTTTTAATTGTCTGTTTTGTGTAATTTATGGACAAAAAAAGTAAAACCCCTTATAGAGAGATTATTAACCACAAAGGCGAAAGATTGCACATCGAGATTAATGGAAATATGTAGTGAACTAAGTCAAACATAAAATCCCTAAAGAAATTTCTAAAATCTAATCTAAATAATAGGAGAAAAATAACTATTTTTAGACCAAAGAAGCAGTCGTTCTTACACATTAAGTAAAAAAAAAAAAAATGTTTGTCTAAACCTTTTTTTTTTTTTGGTAAATCATTTCAATCTGAAATAAACACATTTAAAAAATATATAATTCATAAATTCTAATCCAGAAGATAAGAGGAAAATAATTATGATGTTACTATTTTTGGACAATCGAACGAGTCGTTCTTCTCACACATTAATTCCAAAAAATAAAGAAAAAAATAAAAATGGTGTGTGTCTATTCATTGTGGATCAGATTTCAATCTAAAAAATCTATAAACGAATTAAGACTTAATTTTTGGGCCCATGAAAGCCCAATAAAGCACATAAAAATGGGCTAATTCGGTTGTTGCAGTAACCGGGCGAACCGGAGAGACATCAGAGTTGACCAAGGCAAAGAGTGTCATTTCCCCAAACGACGCTGATTTCTCCTCTGCTCTGTAATTTCTCCAATTCATTGATCAGATCAGCCATGGAAGACGAGGTGATTTCTCGTTCCTTTATTTATTTCCGACTATGTAAACTCAGAGATTAGGAAAAAAATGTGGAAACGTTAATGAATTCGATCTTCTTGAATCTGTTTACTATAGTAATTTCGATGGCTTATTGGTTTCTATGTATCATAGAGGAATTGATTTGATAAAATTTTACTTTTCTTAATGTCTGTGGTGGTATCTTTATCATCAGATGAGACTTTTCGAGACAATTATGGGATAAAGGAAATAACTTTAAGCTGTATTTGTAGAGTTGATTCTTCGGTTTTGGATGATGGCATCTTCTTGATTCCCAAGAATCTTATTTTATGGGGCACATGTTTTGGAATGTTAGAAAATACTTTGGTTCATGGATTTAGGTTTCTTTCTCAAAGCTAGTTTGGTTCATCAACAATGGCACATGAGCTAGTTTGGTTACTGTCATGAGTATAATAAGTAGGAAGAAGTTGTGATTTTTAGAGGCAACAATTATTTTGAGATTTGAGGTTGGTTTTGGATTTAGGAAATGTTTGGGGTTGCTCTTGAATTCACCTTTAGTGTTCTATGGTTTGGTTATTTGAAGTGTTTTTCCCTTTGATTCGTTATTGGTTCATTGATTCAAAAAAGAAAGAAAGTCTTTCACACTTGTGTTTTTGTATTGAATTAGATTGAACTGAAAACTGCTCCTGCTGACTTCCGGTTCCCTACAACAAATCAAACCAGGCACTGCTTCACTCGGTACATCGAGTTCCACAGGTACCTCATTGCTAGCTCATCATTAAGCAAATCATCACTTGTTGACATCAAAGATCATCTTGTAGGTGTACAACTGCAAAGGGCGAGGCGTCTAATGACTGCGAAAGGTTTGCCAAGTATTACCGCGCTCTCTGTCCTGGAGAATGGGTTGGTTCCTTTTGTTTTTGACCTTGGATTATTATATCAATTAGGGCTTTGCGTGATACACACAAATCACACTCCTATACGTTGATTCATCATCTGACAATGTCTGCCGCTTATCTTATCGCAGGTTGAGAAGTGGAACGAGCAGAGGGAGAGTGGAACTTTTCCAGGTCCTCTTTGAACCTAAGAGGCAATCAATTCCATAATGATACATGGTTTGAAAGTTAATTTCTTTCTTGCTTATTATTTTCTCTCTACTTTTAAGTGTTTTGTGTTATTATTTTCTCTCTACTTTTTAAGTTTTTTTATTGGATGTCTAAGAAAAGGCCAATCAAATAATAATATGAAAACATTCTCTTATTTGGTTTGGAACTTATAATTATACCACAACACATAAACTAGACTACTGTTGGACGGAATTACCAAATTTAAATGAAGAATAACAAGTTAATAATATATCGATGATATTTTAATGTTGAGTGAAAGTAATTATTTTGTTTTTGGGATTTATTAATTAGTGTATAAAATACATAGAAAAAAATACTCGAATTAAATTTACTTCCCTTGTATAAAATTAATGCAACTTTTGGAAGCTCACAAGTAGTCTTAACCCTGTTTTTAATTATAAGCCGGTAATTCATTATTAATTTCTTATTGATAATCTCTGAGCTATACGAGAGTTCATGATTATCGCTTGGGTATATATATATATATTCAAAGCAAACACTTCCCAGCAAAAACACAAAACATGGAAATCTAAAATCTCTCTCTCTCCCTCTCGTCGATACACAGGTTCGTCCATCTCTCTTTTTGTTTTTGCTTTGATTCCGATTTCGATTTCGATTCCGACCAAATTTTGACTGAGATTCTTCTACGGGAGACCATTGTTTGGAATTTCGTACGATTTTCCATTGTTTCGAGTTTTTCTTATGGTGGACGCTTAATTCCTGGTTAAACCCTAATTTCTCTTGCTTTCTCAACCTAATTTCTTCGTACTTGCTTTGCCAAACCTAATTTCTTCGTTCACAAGTTTCAAAATAGCGCCTTTTGCATACAAGTCAAACAAAGCTTGACTTTGCTTTTATTTTTTTTAATGGTTTGTCTTTGTTTACAGACGTTTCGTCTTCTTGTGTTTGAGTGAGTAAGAACCATGGATTCGAAAGCAAGAGACGATGACAAAACGCTAAACTTGGATTCGAAAGCAAAAGACGGTGAAGAAGCTCTAAACATGCTCTTAAAGCTTCAACAGAGACTTGATAAAATCCATTCTGAGTTGCAATCTTCGGGAACATCCGCAACAACTTCATCTGATATTCAAAACATCTACGACGAAATCCAACAAGTTCTCAAGATGACTACGAAGACGCCTCAAGATTCGAGTAAAGTGTCGCCACATATTCGCGACGGTATCTATCTGATCCCAAACTTGAAGACTTTTGTTTGATTTCCTCCTTCTCTTATGTTGATTTTTTTTGGATTTATGCAGAGCTTGACATGGTGTTTGTTGTGGAGGAAGTTGGACACTCGTGCGACTTATGCCAGAGAGATCTCGCTACGGATCCAGAACGGCCTAATGCTCCCTTGCGCGGCTTACAAGAGGCGTCCGTGCTGTCTTGTGGTCATGTCTATCACTTCAAGTGTTTGAAAGGAACCACTCTTGATATCGATAACCATTCTAATGATCCTTCCTGCATTTTCTGCATTAGCTTCTCTAACTAAATCAACCTTATCCCATGTGGATTCAACTTTAGGTAGCTTCTACCATCAATGTCTATTAGATCAGGGAGAGACTTAAGATTTTGTTTTCACAATGCCAATGGTGTTACTTACAAATACCAGAGATTTACTCTGAAATCTATCAATTTGTTTTTACATCCCTTCAAACCTCTTGAAAGGTTTAAGTAACTTTACATATGGAAAACTAGAACCGCACCGCATGGTAGCTTCTAAAGCCAGAAGTGAATCATTGCCTGTTCAAGAAACAAAAAAACATGTTTATAGTTCCAAATATCATTCAGGCATCCCTACCTAGTAGCAAGAAGATTCATTACCTCTTGAATTGAGTTAAGGACTCGATCCTCTTCGGGATTGGACACAGGTTTAGATTGATGCAGTTCTGATCTTAAGCTTCTCATCTCTGACTGCATTACATTGAGCTGTTCTCGAATCTCCTTTAGCAAACTCAAATGTTCTCCCTTGATGCTCGTATCTCTTGGCGGTTTACTCAGTTTTCTATCGTAATTACTACTCGCCATCTTGCCTCTGGCCTGTGATTCTTTCAACATATTAGCACCTGATCAAATTGCTTAACCATAAGATTAGTTCACTATATATAATGACTTACATTTCTTTCTTTGATTTCGTCTTCTTCCGAGATGATTGTAAGGCTTTCCTTCGTCTTAGGAACCTCGAAGATGTCTTGAACATTTTTCGGAGACAGAATCGGAGTCTCTAAAGAAGCATCTTTTACAGAGAATCTTTCAGGGTTCTTCATCATCTCCATAATCGAACTGACATCACTCTTAGCTGACTCAAGGATAGTATTGCTAACTTGTGACACCAAGGCATGTGACATTGACTCACGCCTAAGCAAAGGGAATTTAGATACCTTCTGAGCATCTCTTGAGTCTGAAATCTCTCGAACATGCTCATCTATTCTCCTAATCTGTTCCCAATAAGCATTCAAGTCTTCACGAGGAGATACAGAACTCTCAACAAGACCTTTCTTCTCCTCAAAGCTTTCACCATTAACATCAGACAAAAGTAAGCTTCTTTCACTAAATATGCCATCAAATGGGCTCTGCAACAGAAAAAAACATATCTTTGGCTTATGTTATAATCTAACAATGTCTCAAACCCATGAAAACAGAAAGCTTTATATAGCCATGGAATCAGTTTTTTCAGTTATTCAAATTACCGATAGATTTCTCTTCATCTTCCTCTTTTGATTCCCACGAGAGTTTTCGCCGTAAAAGATGAGATTTTCCGGGAACTTATTCTCAATCACAGCCGGATCAGAGCAACCAAGGCTGAGTAATTTACATCTATAAGCCTGAACCTGAAACTCAAGAGACGCAATCTCCATTTCCTTGTGATAAATCAGATCTTCGAAAAGCGCAAGAGAGGTCTCGGCATGACACATCTTCTCCTCCGCCATTCTTTTGTACTGACTAGCTTCCATCTCCAACGCTGCTTTCTCACCTTGAAGCCGTAGAATCATCGATAAGGCTTCGCTTGCAGCAGATGAAGAAGCTTCACGTTCTGCGTCAAGTTCTTGGTTGATCTTTTGAAGAAGCTCTTGTTGTGCCCACTTCGTTTCTCTGACTCCTGAGGTTTCTCCATTGCCTCCTACCCCCAAACTCATCGTTCTCTCCACCATTTTGATCAAAATTTCCTTGTTTTGGTTGATCTTTGATCAATGTGTGATTTGTTTTATGATTAGGAGGAGAGATGAGATCAAGGATGATTTTGAATTTGACGCGGCGGTTGAAGGCGGAGATTTAAGGTTAATCTCCTCCGATTAAATATCCACCGGAATCGGAGAAATGGCGGAAAATCGGTGGATTCAGATCGACAACGAAAGCCTTGAAGGTGACCAGATAGATATTCTCGTAAGTCCTAATCGATAGTGGGACATATTAACGTGTATACGACCACTTTTGAATTGGGTATATTAAACTATACTCTTAAATTATAATTTATGTATTGACCTAATCATATAATCCAGCCGACACATCGTATTTTTAGAGTGATGATTATTTTAGTTGCGATTAAATAATTCATATGAATAGAATTATACAAATAATAAAAAAATTGGACTAAATAATTGGCGGGTTGAGCCAGGCCCGTGCAGTAGTGCAACGCATGGGCGACTCGCGAAAGCCCAGATAGCAAGCTATCTTAACAGGCTTTCTCCCTTAAAAAATAGAGTTAATATCGTGTGGACCGATGGCCCACATACCAGATATTAAACTGATAAGAACAGATACTACACTTGATCTTAGCCAAAAGGCCGAGAAAGGTATGAATTGTTTGATCACAAGGCCTTGTTATTTATACTACTGCTTACTTCTCAAAGACATCTTAAGTTATCGATGTGGGACTCGGGGAAAATAAACACAAATGATAGAAATCCCCACCAAAGGCTTGTGATTGTCTCTCACAATGCGGACACATTGAGAAACTCATAAAACAGCTTCCGAAACATACCAAGCTGAGTCTTCTTCAGGCACATGGTTAGCATCAAGCTCCCTACTTCGTCTGGGCTCCCAGTTACATATCCCTTCCCTTCATTTAAATGTGAAGCTCTCTTGTAGAAAGCTCTTCCCCATCCGAAATCCATTTCGTAAGCGGTCTGTTTTGTTAGACCGACGATGCAGAAGTTTGCTGCGCAGCTGAAGATCGGATTACCTTCACCAGGAACAAACTGATCGAGATCAGGATGTCTCTCCAAGTAGTCAATCGCTGATCTCAAGTACTCGTTGTCCATTTTCCTTATTTCGCCATGAACTCTCTCCACTGTTTCACTGAAACTCTCTCTAAGAAAATCACCCAACTGAGATACAGGCCGAGCGTGAAAGAGAGTGTTCCCAATGTATCCTTGTGGAAGCTTCGGTTGTAGTCTTGGCCTCCCATCAATTATTATATGCAACCTCGTCGAGTGTTCTTCACTCAAATCTGCGGGTGAAAAAAAGTTGTTCAATATGTATTAGACCAAGAGCTGAGCCATTTCTGCATTATCTTAGTTCATATAATCTAAAGAAAGTTTTAGGCTTTAAACTTCCAGAGAAAATGTTTCCAACAAAATCAACATGTACCTTCATTTGCAAAGCAAGCACAACGCCATGTATGCGCCACCAGAACTTCATATGTACTGAACTTACTATCAGCAAACTCTGCCTTAGCCTTAAGAGCTTTCAGTTGGAGACGTGAAAGCTTGAGACTGGCAATCGCAGAATCAGATTCTGGATTTGATCTGTAAGCCAGGGATTTCATCGGAGGGTTGTGAAAGGGGGGTGGTTGGTACTCAGCGTGAGGAAAGACAGGGGAGGGAGGGTCCCGTGCACGAAGAACAGTGCGGTCAAAGAACGGTGTTAGCTTAACTGGAAGTCCCCTAGCAGTTAGAGACCATGCTTCCATGATATACCCAAGAGAAGTAGCTTCTCCGAATGTATGGTGTATTGAACTTCCAACACAGATCGTTCCACATTTGAAATATGTAACCTTGCAAAATATTAGTTACCTATCTGTTAGATATTTGTTCATAGAGGATGTGCATGTAATTGTCTATACAATATGAACATCTGATGATGAAAAAGAAAGAACCTTGAGGTTTATAGTCTGCACTAACTAACGGTTCTCTTCATGACAACTGACAGAAACAACAAGAGTATCTCTGCCTAAACCCTTAACCTAAACTTACCAACCAGAGTGTATCATAAGTGTAACAAAGCGTTTTCAACAGGCAGATGAGGTAAGCTAACCTGAAAGAGAAGAAGAGGATAGGAGGAGATATCTCCCGCGTAGTCAACGGTAGGTACAAGTTGAGAAAGATCCAAACTTTGAGTGAGTAAGCCAATGTCTTGTACAGTAGAATCAGTCTCAGCCTCTACAAACAAAACTCCTTCTCCATTACATTGAACCTCTAACCTCCCATTCGTATCTATCACATATAAAGCAGAAATCTAAAGATGAGAAGAAGAGATAGTGTTTTAACTATACAGAGTTTGATCGGAATCATCCAAAATAGCCGAATACAGGTTTCAACTTTCACGAATCAAACCAAGCAGAACAAAAGAGAAGATGATGGAAGAAGAATCTGAGACGATTTCGAACTTTTACCTTTTTGGAGCCTTCCAGCGGCAGGATAGAAGAGGACAAGAACCTTGCTCAGAGCATCGATAAGAGATTGAGTGTTTGGGCGATCGGAGGAGGAACAAGGGTTGTAGAAATAGAGTGTCCCCATGTGAAATCTCACTTGTATCAAGTCTAAATTAGAAAGCCATAGATTGTGTGTAGGTGTTTCCTCAGCTGGCTTCACGATCGTAGCTTGTTTCACCTGAATTTTCATTTGACTCACAATCACTAAAGGCTCTGGCTTTAAAAGAAACACAGATAAGCGCTTAAGAACACGGACTCGATTTGTCTGAGCTGATCAGTTAAAAGGAAATTGGAGACTGCAAAAGAAGAAGAAGAATATAAAAATGCTTTTCTTTTTTGGTAAGAGCCAATATAAAAATGCTTTAGTGCTTATTAACCACATTTCAAAAGAAAGAAGAGAGGAAAAAACAAGAAATTTGCGGACTACACGCAACCAATGGGTCCAATCAAAATTCATAAGTGGTAAAGAGAAACATTTATACATGGAATTGTGAGCCAAAAAATCCATGATAAAATTTGAACTTACAATAGCAGCAAAGCTCTAAAAAAAGCCACAGCTTATTAGTCTTTGATGAAAAAGACTAAAAGAGAGTGATTGGCTCAGTATGGAATAAGAACACGAACAGAAGGTGGACCAGATCTCATATCTTCAAGTAACAGATCAAGAAGTGCCTTTGCTATAGGACCTTCTTTTCCTAAGTCAGACAAACAAGAAACACATCTTTAATCAGCCAATTCTATCCATCATGTAAGCAATTAAAAGGTGAGGCTTTTAAATGTTTATATGATAATCTTACTTACCATCACCAATAAATTCTTCATCCCATTGAATCACAGGTCTGATGAGAACTCCACTCCCAATAAGCATCATCTCATCTGCTTTCTTTCCATCTTCGACTGTCACATCCATTACTTTCACACTTTTAAGCATCCCCTTGCTTAAAAGCTGTTCAACGAGTGTAAGCGTTCTCTTTGCTGTACATCCGCTCAAAACGTTGTCAAACCGCGGCATCACAAGCTCCTTGCCACCATTAACAACAAATGCCACATTCATGTTCGGACCTTCTGCAATAAACCCATCTTCACTCACCCAAATACCTGCATAAGCTCCGTTGGCCTCAGCCTCCATTTGAGAGAGCACGTTAGGGAGGTAGTTAACGCTTTTCACTGTCGCAAACTCTGGAGGCTTTATGGGAATGGACGAGGTCACTACCTTGACACCTGTTGGGTTAATGGCCAAGTTCGTTTTTATCACAATGGCGTAGAGAGTTGGTTTGAGACATTGAGATGGTGATAGGAGGAAATCCCCTGGGCCTGCAGAGAGCCAGTATCTTAGAGATCCATCTCTACACCCAGAAACGCTCACAGTCTGGATGAGAATTCTTTTAATAGTTTCTCGATCGAATGGAAGTGGGATCTTAGCCATGGACGCAGATCGTAGGATACGGTCAAGGTGCTGATCCAATTCATAAAGGTATCTGCTTGGACGCAGGACAACAAGCGAAGCTCAGATGATTGAGTAAATAAGACAAATTAGAAAAGTGAGCTACTATATAGAGTGACTAACCCATTGATGATCATGGCAGTGTCAAAGACTCCATGACCACGGTGAACCATGTGATCATCTAATGGAAGAACCATCGCTGCTGGATCAGTTGTTATTCCATCAACAACACTTGAGTACATGGCCAAAAACTGTTGTTGTCCTTTTCTTGCTTGTTTTAGCCTATCAATAACCTTTGAGACCAAACATAGTAAAATGATACGCAATCAATCAACACTTCTACATATAAACAGATAACAAATAAATATGCATCAATCATTACGGCGTCCATCTACAATTCCTTGAAAAAACAGAGAAAATTTCTGGTGGTGTTAATGAACATCTCCAGCTAATAAATTGGGAGCAGTTTAAGACATGATGGACAAGTAACAGACATGGAAAAGCAAGACAAAAAACACTGGATACAAAGAAACTAAAACTACCTCAGAGCTAGATAGAACAGGAACATTCCACGACTGAGAGCTTGAATCTGTGGAGGAAAAAATTCATATTTCACAAATCCTTGCAAAAATTTACTCGAATTTGGCATCAATTCCGAATTTCCGAGAACACTTTGGAATTTAACGATCAACAATACAAATTGATATCTTATTCAGGATAATGTACAACGACTGACATCACAAACGCTTTTAACAAATGCATCACTAATCTCAATCCAGAAGAAGAACCAAAGAAGCTACAAGAGTAAAACCAGATAAGAGAGAACACAAGGTAGAAATGTCGAACCAGAACACGTGAGAATCGTTCTTAGTCGTCTCAACTGACGAGGGAACCGAAAGCCATGTCCTAAAGAACATGGAACTTGAGAGAGAGACCGGAGATTCCAAGTATTAACTGTAAACTCCGGCGAGAAACTGGCGATGGATTCTGGGAAACAAGCGAATAGAGAGATCATCGGAAATAGCAACTTGCTTTGCTTAGTACTCTCACAGCTGGAAGAAGACCAAAAATCACAATTTTGGTCTAAGTTCGGCACTTAAATACAGTTATTTGGGCCCATCAGCCCAATACCAACTATGATTCGACAGAGTATTTAGGAAAGTTATCCACTTTCGACAATTGTTTAAAATTAGACTATTATTGGCGGGTTGAGCCAGACCCGTGCAGTAGTGCAACGCATGGACGACTCGTGAAAGCCCAGATAGCAAGCTATCTTAACGGGCTTTCTTCCTTAAAAAATAGAGTTAATATCGTGTGGACCGATGGCCCACATACCAGATATTAAACTGATAAGAACAGATACTACACTTGATCTTAGCCAAAAGGCCGAGAAAGGTATGAATTGCTCAATTCCGTGGCCTCTTTATTTAATTCACTTCTCATGTCTTCCACTCCTATGTTATTAGCGATGTGGGACTTTGGAATGTTTTAAAAGCTAAAACAAAACAAACCCTCTTTCGATGTTAGTGTTAAATCTATAGCCAAACACGCCACCAAAATGTCTTTGTGAGTGAAAAACTGGGTTTTTTTTTTTATTTTTCCTTACCTTGTAGGGCTGAGCTCGAGCTATAAAAAAAGCCAACTTTGATTTCTTTGTAGTTTTTCATCCTTAATCCATTCTTGAGGTCAGTTTTTCATCCTTAATCCATCTAGGTCAGTCGATTTTTTTATTATCTGAGTCAGTAATTTTTGAAAATCTTTGCTTTTTTCTTTTGAATATCCAAAAGGAGAATAGATTTGGGGATAACAAGATCATCTGTTTCGATAAATTGACTCTTTGCGGTTTGTCAATTGTCACTTATAGTCTTTTATTGGCATCTTGGAAACAGATTTTGATCGGAAAGTCTTCGGAATCGGCAGTGGAAGAAGAGTGAATTGTTTCATCCTTGTCTTGCCATGGTATATTTACATACATATATGTTTCTACTACTTCGTTGCTTCAATTTACTGGGTTTGATTGTTCTATGTATTTTCGATCATCCTTTGCTTATTTTACTGGGAAAGTTAAGATATTTTTGCACTGAGAACATCTTTCACCCTTCTTAATTCTAGCTTCCTGATCACATTTATCAGTGTTCTTCTTGGATTTTGCTTTAATCAATCGAAGAACTTAGATTTGGGCCATATTGGTTGTAGGATTAATTAGTCTGTGTAATGTTTGTTTGCAGGCCATGTATATTCGTGTGAAGCGCATGAAAACCACTTACTTTATCCAATGTGATCCAACAGAGACTGTTTTGGATGTTAAGCAAAAACTGTTTGTCCTCATTGAGCAACCAGTTACCAATCAGCGTCTGGTCTTAATGTCTACCGAAGAAGTATTAGAGGATTCAAAAACTTTAGCAGATCAGAAGGTATCAAACGTTTGATTGTCTAATATATTTATCTTCTGAGCCATTGCTCAAGTTTAAAGAAGATCTTCGTCACATGGCCACTGCCTCCGTTTGCGTATTTGAAAGTTATAAGCTTGTCACTATAATCTTTTTTGGTTGTTCAGGTTGAGAATGATGCAGTTGTGGCTTTGACTTTGAGGAAAGGTTATACCTTTGATCCTTTCTCAGCCCTTATCTTATTAAATTTCAATTCCTTGTTAATTTATAGGTAACATTGAAATGTCGTAATGGATCATGCATCTTGGTTAATCACTTATCACAGTTCATCTTTTTATATGTTTCTTTGGTATATGAACCCTTCAAACTCCATTGACTTCAATCGAGCCTGTTATTGTGAATCTTGTTATCACAGATCATCTTTGGTAATAATATTTGACAGTCTTGAAAACCTCTGTGGCCGGGATATAGCTGAATGTGATTCCTAATCTTATGATCATTTAGCCTTCTATCGATTGCATAACTGTTGAGCATGCTGTAGTATTGCATTCTGAATCTATAAGGCTATGAACGGAATGATGGTTGCATTGAATCTCTTTTTTTTCATTTGCAGATGATAACGAGTTTGAGGATGTCAACATTGCACAGCCCACAGACTTCTCAATTTCATGAAAAGTTACTTACTGTATCAAGGAAACCTCAGGAGAAGGTACTATTGATTCAAACATAAGGAGAAGTCTATAAACGCCTGAAGTTGTTTCTTTGCGTCTCTGCTTGCGTTAACATCTCTTTAGTTGTTACAGACAATTGTTGTAAGTAAAGATATTGAGATGTGGAAGTTTGATTGCAATTTGCAAGATTACTAGTTTTTACGGTCTCGTAATATGTTTACAATGAGCTAGAGCTGCAGCAAACACGAGCCGAGGAAGCTCCATAATTGCCCTTTGACATTGTGCTAGGGACGAGGGAGACTTTACCCATAAAAAGCTTTAGAAGTGACATTAATGACGGAAAACCCAATGAGAGTGACAAAATAAAGAGACAAAAAAACAGAATCAAAGGACATAACTGTAATTCTGACGGGAAAAAACGTTAAGGCTAGAAGTGTGTCTGGTTCGGGAAAAAGGAGGAATAAGACCCTAATAAAGAGAAGGGATTGTGTCTCCTTCTCGACTTCTTCTTCTTCCTTCTTCTCAATCTCAACTTTTCTCTTCTCTTCTTCGCAAACGGCAGGAGAGAGAGAGAGACTCAGGAAGCCGATCCCTCCTCTCCTTCGATTATCGCATTCAGCGATTCATCGTCGCTGATAAAGCTTCTACCTTTCTCTTCCCTCTCGTCGATTTTTGTTGTGAGATTCGGTTCGATCTAGGCGGATTAGATCGAGGTATGCAGCAAGGCGATCAAACGGTGCTGAGCTTGAGACCTGGTGGCGGTCGAGGAAACAGACTTTTTGGTTCCTCTTCTTCTTCTTCGTCTCTCTCTTTTGGCTCTCTTTCATCTTCGGATCTACCTCTCCTTCGTCCTCATGGTGGTGCTCCTGCTTCCTCTTTTCCCTTCAAGGTACCCTCATTTCTGGGCGCTGAGCTCCCCTCTCTATATTTGGATCTAGCTCCTTCTTGTTCCTCTGGTTTATAAATTTCTGTCTGGATATCGTTTTGTTGATCTCTGGTGTCTTAGCTTGAGCTTAACTCAATCGAATTTTACGGGTTTATAGCAGCAATCAGCATCCTTTTGTTTGGAATTACAATCTTTGGTATTTTGCTGATTTGATTATCTCAAATGTCTGAATTGGCTGAAATCTTTTTGATTTGCGAGTTTCACTACCTTATGTTGCTTCCCGACCACATAGAATCACGTGTCTGCAACAGACATAATTAAACTTCATAGGTAAATTAAGATTAATTGAAGAAGTGATTTGTTTGTCCTGATTCTTAGTGGCGCACACAAGTATGTGTAGCTGCTGTAAATATGGACGTATAATGATATGTAGGCTTTTAGGTGGGCATTTTATTAGCTGCTATTTGCTCATAAAGGACCTACTAACATTTCTTCTAGTTTTTAGCTCATCAATCATGTCGGCCTTATGATTCATGAATTATTCCTCTCTTTGGTTTGTACTGAGTACTCGTGGTTCTTTGTCTCCTTTGTATGTCATTTGTTATATGATTTTGTGTATTGAGTGTTAGTTAATGAAGATTCATCCTGGGTTGTGCTTTTGTTTCAGGGTGGAGACTCGAGGTTTGATGGCCGTGAACGTGTGAAGTACACCCGTGAGCAGCTTCTGGAACTTAAAGAGGTGATTATCGCAGTTTAAAAATATAGGATTAAGGCCGGTATAGTTTCTGCTGTTCGTCTTTGTTCTTCTTTATTTGAGGTCACTGACGTCTCTGCATATGTACAGATCACTCAACTCTCTGATGAAATTCTGAGAGTTCAACGGGAAACTGCAACAGAACTGTTTGGTGAGGAAGGGACTTGGGCACGTGGGGAAAGTGTCGTAAGCAATTTGGTATAGTTTTTTTGAAACGTAACTTTTGCTTTGTTTCCTCTATCATGAAGTTTCATGAGTTTTAAGTTTTAACACATATCTGCTATCTTAATGGTCCAGGTTCCGGTTCAATCTGCAAGTCGCTTCTCTGAGCCAGACTCTCGCGATTGGCGTAGCCGTTCTACTCAACCTCCACCTTCTGGAGAGGAAAGGTCGTGGGATAATCTCCGTGAAACTAGAGATTCCAGGTATGTTGAAGCAAGCCAATATAATCGTCAAGACCAACCTAATTCCCAGTTTTCAAGGGCAAACATATCATCCAACCAAGGGGTAATTGATCAATAATAAATTAATGTTTTTTCCCTCTTCTTAGTCCTTTACATTCTGGCATGATTTCTTATCTTTCTTACTTATTTGTATATCGTGTGGAACCAGGGTGGACCAGCTCCTGTCCTCGTCAAAGCCGAAGTGCCGTGGTCAGCTAGAAGAGGAAACCTTTCTGAAAATGATCGAGTTCTGAAGACTGTGAAAGGGTAATGCCGTTGTGACATTTATTGGTTGTCTAGACTTTTGCATAATTTTTCTTTACTGCTAACAAGAATTCTTTAAAATCGAGTATGCACACTTACAAAGATATACTTTTCTTGTCCAGGATACTGAACAAGCTAACCCCTGAAAAGTATGACCTTCTTAAGGGCCAACTTATTGAATCTGGCATCACATCTGCTGATATCCTGAAGGTGTACGCTATGTCTCAAGCATAGATGAAGTCTTGTTTGAATCATCTAGGCTGTTCGTGTGGCTAACCAATGTTCTATTCTTTCCTTTCTAGGGTGTGATTACCCTTATTTTTGACAAAGCTGTCCTTGAGCCGACCTTTTGCCCTATGTACGCGAAATTGTGCTCTGATATCAACGACAAGCTGCCCACCTTCCCACCTGCAGAGCCTGGGGATAAGGAGATTACATTTAAGAGGGTTCTACTGAATATCTGTCAAGAGGCATTTGAGGGCGCTTCTCAGTTGAGGGAGGAGCTTAGACAGATGAGTGCTCCAGATCAGGAGGCTGAGCGGAATGACAAAGAAAAATTGTTGAAGCTCAAGACTCTAGGAAATATTCGTTTGATTGGTGAGCTTTTAAAGCAGAAGATGGTTCCAGAAAAGATTGTTCATCACATTGTTCAGGTTAACACCTATAAGTTTACACAATTTCTTAAGACAACTTTTATTTTGGTATCTAGCATTAACCTTTCTTAGTTTGTTCTGAGCACAGGAGCTTCTTGGGGCCGATGAGAAAGTTTGTCCAGCAGAGGAAAATGTCGAAGCTATTTGTCATTTCTTCAAAACAATTGGCAAACAACTTGAGGGAAACGTGAAGTCAAAACGGATTAATGATGTATATTTCAAACGCCTACAGGATCTGTCAAAGAATCCTCAGTTGGAACTGCGTCTGAGATTCATGGTTCAGAATATCATCGACATGCGCTCCAATGGCTGGGTTCCAAGGCGGGAAGAGGTATCCTAGGTTTACAAGGTTGAGACTTGTTTGCTTCTCCATTGTGTAGTGGTTCTGATGTTCTATTTACATTGCTTGTGCAGATGAAAGCAAGAACTATAACCGAAATCCATACTGAGGCAGAGAAGAATCTTGGTCTCCGACCAGGTGCCACTGCAAATATGAGAAGGGGTATGGTTTCTAGTGGTGGGCCTATGAGCCCTGGCCCTGTCTACCCTGGTGGGCGACCTGGTGCGGGTGGCTTGATGCCTGGTATGCCTGGGACGCGAAGGATGCCTGGGATGCCCGGGGTGGACAATGATAACTGGGAGGTACCCCGGACAAGATCAATGTCTAGACGTGATGGGCCAGGACCTCTGCATTCTCCAGCAGTGAGCAAGTCGGCCTCAATGAACACGAGGCTCTTACCTCAAGGCAGCAGCGGCATTATGAGTGGCAAGACAAGCGCACTGTTGCAGGGAAGCGGTTCAGTGTCCCGCCCAGTTACCGTGTCAGCAGTACCACCAGCACAGTCAGCTGCACCTCTGACCGTACCAGTACCGGTGGAGAAACCACAGCCTAGTGCTCCCAAGTTGAGCGAAGAAGTGCTCCAAAGAAAAACAAAGTCACTTCTCGAGGAATATTTCAATGTCCGACTTCGTGATGAAGCTCTGCAGTGTGTAGAGGAGCTTGGGTCTCCTTCATATCATCCAGAGTTTGTGAAGGAAGCAATATCCCTGTCCCTTGAGAAAAGCCCGCCTGTGGTCGAGCCAATTGCTGATCTCTTGGAGTATTTGTTATCAAAGAAGGTACTCACACCCAAGGATCTTGAAACCGGGTTCTTGCTCTACGGTGCTATGCTGGACGACATTGGAATCGATCTTCCTAAGGCACCAAACAACTTTGGTGAGATTGTGGGAAAGCTGATTCTGGCTGGTGGTGTGGATTTCAAATTGGTTAGAGAAATTATAGGGAAGATGGAGGACGATAGGTTCCAGAAGATGGTGGCCAATGCAGCTCTACGCATCGTGGAGTCGAGTGAGCAGGGGAAGTCCCTGTTGGCCTCACAGGCAGCAGACGTATAGGCTTGTCGGAATCTGTAAAAGGAATCATTGCTTTACGATTTTGCTCTCTCTGGGTCTTATGCTTGTGCAATGAATGTTGTGTTGTAAGCTTGAAGGAGGAGGAGAAGAGGATTCTCAGAACTCAAAAATAGTTTTGCTCTTCTTTGAAGCTTTTGTTATGACATTATTCTCACCACTCTTGTTTGTGGGGATGTGTCCTTGTCCTTTTTTGTATTCTTCTGTGACTTCTCTTTTCTAATTTTTTGACCTTTGCATTTTTGTTTTACGGTCTCAGTTATTCAGTTGATTGTTGTTGAGACTTTGAGACCCCTATAAACTTGGTCGGTTCAGATAAATTACATTGGAAATGTTTGATCCATCGTCTTCCTATTGTCTAATTCTGAGCAAACATATGTTGAGTAAATTGATTCATACGACAAGGACCTAAGCTTCCAAGTCAAAATAGAACATGGAAAATTGTAAAATATTCAAAAATTTAAGGGGGTTTTCTGCAATTTTCTCAACAGAAAAATGACGTTTATTAATGGGCCTGATTGGGCTTTGTAAAGCGTCACAAAAAAACTCTCCCGCGCAGGACAGAGAATCATTAATTATTATTATCCAGAAAACTAAATAAAACACATTTTTAATTTCAATTTTGAACAAAAATGAGTTCTCGCGTAGCTGAAGCAAATCACACGGAGAAGGAAGAGTCGCTGAGACTGGCGATCGCTGTTTCTCTGCTACGATCTAAGATCCAGAATCATCAATCTTCTTCTTCTACTTCCCGTTGTGATGTTCCTTCTGAATCTGATGCTCTTCGCTGGAAGCAGAAGGTGAAACCACACTCGATTATTTCCTTTTTTGCATTTGGGTTTAATTGCCTTCTCGCTGCGAACTATCTGATCTCTCTTTGGTGAAATCTGATATCATTCCGTCTTAGATTTTCTAGCAATACATTTCGATTTCTGTTCGTCGTTTAGAAATCTAGGTCATCTGATTGTTGCGAGACGGACCTTTAACATAGTGAGAATTTCGATTTTGAAATTAGGCTAAAGAGAGGAAGAAAGAGATTATCAGACTCCAGGAAGATCTCAAGGAAGCTGAAAGTATTTTCTTGTCTCTCGTAACTTTTTTAACTTGTTTTTGTATTAATTGGTTCTTAAATGGAGAAAGGCTTTGCAAGATGTTTCTAGAACTGATTGGTTACTATTAATGCATTTTGTGTCATTTAGGTGCTTTTCATCGTGATTTATTCCCAGCGAATGCTTCTTGCAAGTGTTATTTCTTTGATAACTTGGGAGTATTCAGCGGTAGGAGGATTGGAGAGGCCTCTGAATCGAGATTTAATGATGTTCTTCGTCGTAGATTTCTCAGACTAGGTCTCTTTCCCATTCTTAGATTCATCAGCCTGGTAGCTTGAACATTTTGTATTCTCTTTGTTACCTTTGTGTATGTGGGCTTAACTTATCAGCTTGTGTTGTCATTTTATGTTTTAGCGAGGAAAAGGAGCAGAAGGAAGTCAACTCGATCATCGCAAAGATTTCAGTCCTCTGGTCTGTTTAGTGTCTTCCTTTTTCTGGTTCAACGTTTATTATCTCACAGTTTCAGTTTCCTTAATGCATTTTACAACACCATACTATATGGGAGAAGGAAGTAAAAAATGGAGTGTATGTAACCAAGCACCACCAGTTCATTTTCAGGGACTCTTTTTTATTTGAGCTGAAACTTTGACTGCAGAACCGGAATATGAAGAGGAAGCAGAACATCTTAGGATATCTATAGATTTTCTCCTGCAACTGTCCGAAGCAGACTCCAATGTTAGGCTTTGTTGCTTAAGCTTTTTTCTGGTAATATGCACTCTTAAATGCGTTGCTACTTTAAACTTGCTTCTTATATTATGCAGGCCTCTAATTTCAGCAATTGGTCACATCAGGCTGTAGATTTCATATTAGGTAATGTAATTCAAAACTCCTGAGTTGCAAACAAATTATTTAAATCCTGATCTGTAATTCCTTTCAATAGAAGCCTGGTTTTCACTTATGGAAATAATACGCTCTTTTTGGCATACTCAAGCTTCACTGAAGAAGCTGATATCGATGGGAAGGAACTTAGAATCTGTTGAAGAATCTATCAGCTTCATGATTACACAGTTGATCACAAAAATGTGCACTCCCTCTAAAGGAAATGGTAACTTTAGCACTTTTAATCATGATTCTATCTGTGCTTTTCTTTCTAGTTATCATTTTTCTTAGATTTGTTTTTGTGTGTTTACCATCTGTTGTAGAGGTGAAACAACTAGAAACAAGTGTTGGGTTTTATGTCCAACATTTGATCCGTAAACTTGGAAGTGAACCATACATTGGACAGCGTGCAATATTTGCTATTTCTCAGAGAATATCCATTTTAGCCGAAAATTTACTGTTTATGGATCCATTTGATGAATCATTCTCAGTGATGGATGAGTGCATGTTTCTACTGTAAGTTTTTCAGATTCAAATGAGATAATGTGTTTTTATGATAATTGGGGATGCTAAGCTTGATTATATTGTCTAATGAACATGCAGGATACAGCTAATTGAGTTCCTGATATGTGACTATTTGTTGCCCTGGGTAGAGAATATAGCATTTGAAAATGGTAAACTAAACACTAAATATATCCATTTATTTTACTTCAACAAATAAATCAGAGTGGCGCAGCGGAAGCGTGGTGGGCCCATAACCCACAGGTCCCAGGATCGAAACCTGGCTCTGATAGAATTTTACATTTTTCACTCTTTATTTTTTTGACATCATTTTTTCTATATTTAAGCTCTTTTTCCAGAATTATAATCGTTTCCTAGCTGTGCCGACACAACTACAATCATAGATGACAAAAAGAATCACAAAATATGCTGAGACTGGTTGTCTTATTTGCAGTTGTGTTTGAGGAGTGGATAGCATCAGTAGTCAATGCAAGGAAAGCAGTAACGGCCTTGGAAGAAAGAAATGGGTTGTATCTTCTTTACATGGACCGAGTCACAGGGGAATTAGCTAAACGAGTTGGTCAGGTCACATCTTTCCGGGAGGTGGAGCCAGCCATTTTGGAAAAAATCTTAGCCTACCAAGAAATAGAATGATATCTTTCCAGGTTAGCATCTACATTGTAAAACTTTCTTTTACTTGGGAACCTCCCCTTTTTTACTCCTAATTGATAAAAAGATGGTGTGTGGAAAGCAAGTAGCTTGACTATGACTTAAAGGTAACGATAGTTGATTTGGTAATCATATCACTGCAGAAAATGTGAGAACTGTAAGGACTTAGGTCGATGTCGGCTTTGACCTTTAGACCTTTGGATGGTGATGGCTTTAAGATATTATAATCTTGGGTCCACATGGTATTATAATGTTAGCTTATTATCTCATTGCTCAATCAACAACCCACCAAATTGTTATTAAATAAGTCCGACAGAAATAATATCTTCTTCAACTACTCACGTCTTCTTTTATAAAAGCAAGCCGTAGGACTAAAACCTTATCTTATCTTAGAGCAGAGATGCGTGACATCAAAGGCTTACTCATCCTATCGATCATCTTACTCCTGGTCTTTTCTCAGTGCCTTCTTTTGTGCTCAGGTCATGGCGATGACGAAGCTGGTGCGACAAGGAAGCTTGGAGTCTTCATAAGGAGAAGGGCAAGAAGATTCAGAGGACATCGCCCCACATCTGCTTCTACAACACTTTTGTCAGGCTCCTTTCATATGACTGCTTGCCTTGCCACCTCTTTCCTGCTTTCTCTTCTTATCTAGGTTTCATCTACTGTCAAAAGTGGTTTTTCTTTTTTTACTTTCCTTACAAGTAATGATGTAGTACATAGTAACACTTCTTTGTAATGCGTTTATATAAGTTGAGTTCTACATAAGCATTTATGTGTACAAATTTAATGCTTGAAATTGTGAGCTTATAAAAGACTTAGGTCGATGTCGGCTTTGCCCTATGGTTGATGATCGCTTTGCGATATAGGACACCTACTTTCCCAGTGAGTCAAATCTTGGCTCCACAGAGCATTATATCTTATCATTTCATATCTCAATCAACCCACCATATGTCATTTAATATGTCCAACTAACAAAATATCCTCAACAACTCTAAGCTTCTTTATAATCACAGCAGAGAGCCAAAACCTATCCTTATCTTAAGAGCAGAGATGGTTGACATCAAACGCTTACTCATCCTATCAATCCTCTTACTCCTGTTCTTGTCTCAGTCTCTTCTTTTGTGTTCAGGTCTAGGCGATGATGAAGCTGGTGTGACAAGGAAGCTTGGAGCATTCATAAAAAAAGGCGCAAGATACGGGAGGCGTCCCACCACCACATCTGATTCTGCAACACTTTTGTCAGGTTCCTTCCATATGATTACTTGCCTTGCCACCTCTTTCCTTCTTTTTCTCCTTTTCTAGGTTTCTTCTACTGTCAAAAGTAGTTTTCCTTTTTACTTTCCCTACAAGAATTGATATGATTGATAGTCGTAATACGCCTTTGTAATGTCAACAAGAACTCAAAAGTATATTAACTCACATAAATTGAATTATACATAAGTGTGTATATGTACAACTTTAATGCTTGAGATTGTGAGCACTACATTTGGTCTTTTTTCAAGGTTTATCAAACCAAAGAGCTGCTATATATAAGACATATAACAATCTACCCAAGTCAGAACTATGGGCTGCTTTATTATAGACCATTGTGGTGTGTATGAAACTCAGATCCTCATGGCTTGTATATCAAATCTCTCGTCATAGAGTCTCCAATGTCCATACCTCTCTCTTTGAGCCACATCTCCTGACCTTGGCACATAAACATCTGGCTTTTTCACCTCCTTAAGCCACTTAAGCCTTGAAACATTGCCTGTAATGTCACGGCTTGACAAATGCACACAGCCAAACAAGTCCAAGTACTCAAGCTTGGGACAACCCTCACATATAGAAGCAAGACCCTTGACAGATAATCTAGAGAACTGAATCTCCAAACGCTCTAGATTGATCATATGTTTCCCAATCGCATCAGCTTCTGTGTCTCCGTCTTGAGGACAAGCGTCTAAGTACTCTGTAGGAACAGAGCCAATGTGCCGAGAAGACCAGTCCATAAGGTTACGTTTCAAGAACCTCAGATTAGGACAGTTTCTACCAATCATCACAAGAGTGTCGTGAGATATCTCGTGACAGTAACTGATATCAAGTTCCTTTAGACTCCTGCACCGAAACGCTATCTTCGTCATAGATGCGTCTGTCACGTTTGAACTGCTTCTAACGGCAAGAACCTGTAGATTTGGGCATCTATTGATATGTCGAAGATCAGACTCGAATCCATAGAAATTTCCAAAACAGAGGATATCACAAACTCAATCATGATCTTGATGAGAAAGATATTTTACCTATCGGCTGCGTAAGAGAGAGCGTGGTCGCTGCAATGGCGGATGCGGATCTCGGTTAGACCACCGTCGCTCCAATCAACGACTGATCGGAGCATTGAGTCTACCTTCCCCTCGAAATCAGGGGACCACAAGTGAGTCGACTCGGGATATGACTCGAACCATGGCTCCAGATCGAAGGTAGACCAGAGATGCGGATCTCTGCAAACAGTTAGCCACGATTTTCGGACGAACATCGGACCCGTCCATAGCTCCTGAATCGTGAGCCTTGAGATGATGTTGATGAGTATCTCTGGAGCCAATCCGCCCCAATCAGACCCGTCTTCCTCCATGAAGATTCTAGTTTTCGTCTCAAAAATCGGTTCTTTATGTTCGGTAATGAATGATGACTTGTTATACGAAACGTGTCCTTTTAGACACGTGTCAATACATCTGACCGTTAATTTTGTTCCTTGACTTTCGGATCACTTCCATAGATATCGTTGACTGACACATGTTTCCATAATACAAATGTCACGTTTGTAATAAGCCACCTCAAGAATAGAGAAAGAGGATAAGGTTTTTAAGTTTTCAAGTAATTTGGATATTAGAGCATGTACATGGGTGAGATCCATTTAGTATCATTAAGAATTTTTTAGTATTATTTATAATGTTTGTTTATTGTTTGAGATTTTTTATGATACTCCTACTAAATATGTTTGCATTGGTGAGACCGGTTTAAGTATCATAAAAAAAAAAAATTTGCAAAATCAAAAATTAATATATTAAAACATAAGATTACAAAAGGTAATATTATAATAAAAAAAAAGTAGAATATAATTAAGCAAAATAAAACATAAAATTCAAAAAAAACTGAAAAAACATGATGAAAAAAATAATTTAGTCGGTTGTAATCAATTACCTTGGCCCCATTTTTGCCAAATATGTTCAATCAAATCTTCTTTCAATTGTCGATGTGTTTGTTCATGACGTATTTGAGCTCGATTGGCCATCAAATTGTTCACATTTGTAGCTGTCTCTGTAGAAAAAGAGTTATCTACTTGAGAAGTCCCGCTTCCTTCGCCTTCTACGAAATCAGATAAATCGAACTGAGTATCTTCGTCTCGTTCATCTTCTACAATCATATTGTGCAATATGATACATGCTCTCATTATCTTGCCCATTCGCTCTTTATCCCAAAACAGACCTGGGTTTCGAATAATAGCAAACCGAGCCTGCAAGACTCCAAAAGCACGCTCGACATCTTTTCTCACTGCTTCTTGACAACTAGCAAATAATGATGCTTTCGGTCCTTGTGGGCGGGTAATTGATTGGATGAATGTTGCCCACTTTGGATATATACCATCTGTGAGGTAATAACCCATTTTGTATTGATGTCCATTGACTTCGTACGTGAGTCGTGGAGCTCGACCTTCTAATATATCATCAAACACCGGTGAGCGGTCAAGAACATTTATATCATTACACGTACCTGGAGCCCCAAAAAAAGCATGCCAAATCCATAAATCTTGTGATGCCACGGCCTCTAAAACAATAGTGGGTTTTCCATGTCCGCGTGAATACTGTCCTTTCCAAGCCGTAGGACAATTCTTCCACTCCCAATGCATACAGTCAATGCTTCCTACCATTCCCGGAAATCCGCGTTCCTTTCCAGAATGAAGTAACCGTTCTAGATCCTCACGTGTAGGCCGCCTCAAATATTCGTCTTGGAATAAATTTATTATGCCATCTACAAAATTCTCTAGTGCTTGGCTCACAGTGGTTGCGCCCATGCGGAGGTATTCGTCCATCGCATCGTTTGCAAGACCATATGCCAAACGCCTAATTGCAGCAGTACATTTCTGTATGGCAGATAGTCCTTGCTTCCCAGTAGCATCGTCCCTTTGTTGGAAATATGGAAATTGAGAAAGACTTTGAACAATACGAAGGAACAACGGCTTCGTCATACGAAATCGTCGTCGGAACATGCGATCATGGTAAACGGGGTCATCCGAAAAGTAATCGTTCCATAATCGAATATTTCCTTCTTCGTGATCTCTCTCTATATTAGCAGCCCTTTTTTTCTTTTTTTTCCCCGCTACACGTCTACTGAAATTCTCTAAACCATCTTCAAAACATGTTTCAAACCTCTCCTCCAAAGTGTCATCATCATTAGAATGTGATGCCATTATTATTTAAGAAGCAAAACGTACAAGAAATAAAAAGAAATTTTGTGTTTAGGGAAGTTCACAATTAAAAGAGATGTGTGACTTGAGAAGGAAAACAAATAAAAAAGACTTGTTTTTAGAAAATTAAAGGAAGCAAAGACTTGTTTTTAGAGAAAGAAACAAAGACTTGTTTTAGAAGAATTGTATTGAGAAATATGAGAGAGGAAGATTGTTTTGGAGAAGAATTGTTTTGAGAAATATGAGAACACAACAACTTATATATATAATACATTGAGAAATATGAGAACACAATAATACACATACACTAAAAACAAGTAGCTTTTGACCAATATATTGCCGACCATACATTTTACTACTAAAATACAAAACACAACTAGCTCTGACCATAGAAAATAACAATACATTGCCGACCATACATTTTACTACTAAAATACAAAACACAACTAGCTTCTGATGGCATATGGTCTATCCGAATAAAAAAAGTCATAGAAGATGACATTAAAGCAACAGAACCACTCAATCCATTCCTTGCCGACATCACTAGCTTCCAAGAGGAGGTCCTGCACATAAACAAGCAAAGAATATCAGATAATACTACATGTTAAGTAAACAAAACAACTTAACTAACAACACATACCTAAAGACCAGAATATTCATTCTCAGAAACAAACACATTGCTTCCAGAAAGATACTCTTTGATAAGAGTGTTCTTAAGTTCAATTTCCATCTCACTCAATCCATCAGACCTTCCAAGAAGGCTGTCAAGTAGCTTCTGCTTGGAGAGTCTCTCTTTGAAAGCCAAATCCTTCTCTTTCACTTCCCACAAAAGCTGAAGTTCAGCAGCAGAACCAGCGTCAGCTCCTCCATCACTCTTTCCCTTACCTTTAGACTTGGCTAAAGCCTTGGCTGCCTTCACACCTATAGGCCTTTGGAGACTCTCTTCTTCTACAGATGAAAGTTTAGCTTTCTTCTTGGCAGGAAGTTTGGTCTCACACCAATTGCACCACTTCTGATCAGTCTTGAGGATTCTCCAAACATGCTCAAGACTGAATTTGGTTTTTTGATCCTGATGGTAAAGCTTGTAGGCCAGCACAAGAATGTCATCTTCAGTCTCTCCACTGCGAGGAGTCCGAGAGGCAAACTCATAACAGCCTGCAAACTTCACGACAAGCTCACTCATTTTTTGCCATTTCTGCTTACAAGTATTTGCCTCTCGGATAGTGAGCTTAGAGACAGAAGGACATGCAGCATAATATGCTGCAACCCTAGCCCAAAAGGCAGCTGATCTCTGCTCATTCCCCACAACAGAGTCTTTGGATGTGTTGAGCCAGGCACTTGCAAGTGCCTTCTCTTCAGGAACACTCCATCTCACTCTAGGTTCCCTAGCTAAGGCTGTGGGTGTTTGGGATTCAGAAAAAGGAGGCTGTGAAGGACTCAGAGGTGTTGGGTTATCTTCTTGGCTAAACAAGAGATTGGTAAAGGACTGAGAAGAGGAAAAGTTCAAGTTGGAAGCCATTTTGGTGTTTTAGTTCAGTTTTGGTGATTTCATAAGTTCAAACAAACTTATTATAAAGGAAAACACTCAAGGACTGATAAGTTCTATTGAATACGAGTCATTATAGTTTAGTTTATGTGTTTGGTTTACTAATTCAAGTCACTGAGACACTTTCCATCAACATAAATTCAGTCTAGATGGCACCAAACTCATCATCATTTTATTTCCCTTCAATTGTAAGTTCAGTTTGCATTTAAGAGAACCTAATTTATGTTTTAATTAACTTTGTCTCATCACACACGACACAAAGAACATTTAACAACCTATATTCTCAGAGAAAATATTCTAATATAGATGACAGTAAATTCATTAACTACTCCAACTGTATTAATTGTTCCATTTATACACAACTACATTCTCAACCATATCTATCTAATCACTAATAAATTTAAGTGTTCAGTTTCTAGTCAATTAAGTTTCAATTCAGTTTCAGTTTCAAAAGTGTTTTTGTTTCAAAAGTGTTTCAGTTTCAAGTGTGTTTCAGTTTCAGTTACAGTTTCAAAAGTGTTTCAGTTTCAAGTGTGTTTCAAGTGTTTCAGTTTCAAAAGTGTTTTAGCTTCAACCAAGAAGAAAATAGAATCATTTAAGAGATTACCTTTCACCTCCGCAGCTCTCATATTTTTAGATCTCACCACTACCATCCTCTTACTGAGACATTTCTGCAAAACAAGGAAGATAATAGAATCAGTTTCAATGATGACATCAAATACAAAGAATTAAATTCAAATCAGAAACAAACTTTTAGAAATTCACATGCTGGGAAGATGAAAAGTACCTTAATATCTCTATGCATAATCCCATTGTTGTGAAGATACTCCAAACCCAACAACAGCTGCTTTTTGTACATTATTATCACCTATTAAAAAAGGTTAAGATACAACATTGATAGCCTGCGAAGCTCAAACACAAAGTTAAAGATATAGTCAGGACTTACTGGCTCAGGAAAAGATCAAAATCCAACATAGATGATATTGATCCACCACGAACAAACTCCATCAAAATATTCAACGAACCACTCTCTCTTACAGTACCCAAGTATCTCTGAAAAAGAAACAAGATAATAAGAAGAATGCATGCAGAACAGACATTAAACATATGAGAAATAGCTGAAATGGATTCGCCAACTCACAACAATGTTTGGATGTGAAAGATTCTTAAGAAGTTGTACTTCTTCCTCAAGCTGTCGGATGTGATCTGAGTCTTCTCCTTTGAAGCACTGCTTGGAGCGATTAAAACCTGTTATCCAAAATAAGAATCACGAATCAGAAGAAAAAATCATAAATCAATAGGAATTAAAGGTAACTAGAACTAAGAATATCAATTTCAAACCGAAATTAACAATTACCAAACCCTAATCCAACAAAAACCTAACCCTAATCCAAACCCTAATCCAATTTCACCTTCTCAAACGTATTTCCCGAAACCCAAAAAACAAACCAACCCTTGAATCGACCCAAACCCTAAACCTAGATCTACACACTACAAAATGAAATCAGAAATCAACTTATCTTCACTCATAGTCGTCTGAATCGCCGGCGGATCTCCTTCTCCAACCGACAGCTCTTGATTAAGTTCTTCTTCGAGGGAGATCTACGGCACCTCGACGAGACAAATGACGAGTGGAGAGGCAGAGGTGAAGAGAGATCTTAAAAGATCTGCACGTTCTTCTTCCACGGGGAACTTTAGAGATCCGCCGGCGATTAGAACGAAGGAGAGACGGAGAATCGCCGACAGAGGAAACGAAGAATGCGAAAACGAAGAATGATTTTTTTTTTTTTTTTCACTCTTTTCCCACAAAAACGCGTTTCTCCCGACTAATCCCGAGCCGCCACCTCATCAGATACTGGTATCACTAATATCACCCCAGTGATACGGCTCAGGCCCAAGTCAGTGGTTTTACCCATTAATTTAATATTTTTGGGCTTATGATACCCATAAAAAATGTCCTATGTACATGGTCTTATGTTTTTCATCGAAGAAGATAAGTAAATAAAGCAAGCTAAATTGATGAAAGCTATGTTACAACAAGAGATACTTGAAGAAGGACAAAAGGTTCCTTCTTCTTGTTTTAGACTCTGAGAGCTGCAACAGGATCTTGCCATGAAATTTTCCTCTTGTTTGACCCGTTTCCGCCATTCCTGCAAGAAGATAGCTTCACATCTTTCTGCTGCATCTCAATGCTGCTGCTCATTCTCTTACATGAACTACTTTCTTCAACTTTCGTCTTCTCTTGATTACTATTGTCCACTGCCTCTGTTTCTTGCTCTTCTTCTCCCTATAAATCAATTCAAGAGTAAATACATGTTTGCTCTCTTTGTCCTCTTCCAATCTTTTGACAAAAGTGAAATATATATATGTGCTTACAGATATCTGGTTTAGATCGAACAATGGAACTCTTCTCTTAGGACTGGTTTTGGTTTCATCGTGAGCCTTTCCCAAATGGTTTAAGTCAGGAAGCGAAACATGCTTAGTTTCCGTCTCACTTCTCTTATTAGTAGACACTTCCACTCGGATATTCCTCCCACCATTTGATCTTCCTCTGACCTTTTTAATGTCTCGTGGCTGGTCTTCTCTCAAATGTCTGTATCTCCGCCGCAGAAATCTGTTGAAGAGGTTGTTAACAAGTGTGGAAAACATAAAAGGACTAATGATATATTTGTCAAGGATTCAAAGTGTCTTTACCTGACTTCAGCCATTAGTGTTGCCTTTCTTTCTCGCACTGCCTGTAACCTTTTTCTCATAGCTTCGGTTTCCTAGTGTAATCAACCAAGTAGCAACACACACGTTACTGGAAGCTAACACAAAACCAAATGATCTTAAAGATCAAATAAAGCAAGCTTATCATCCTAAAACTATGCTTAAGACTAGAAACAAACACTCTTTGGATCAGTTTAAGAGTAATTGAGATTTGCATAACTAACTACACAAATTTTTTTTAATAAGCTTTATGTTTGTTAAGGAAGCAATTAAACTTAAAAGTTTCTTCTTTCTATTATTTAAAAGAAAAAAAAAAGTGAATCCTTTTCCCCAAGTAGCTCTGAGACCTGATCAAACTTTAAGCAAAGAAAATTACATTCTCAGATCCAGAGAGACAACTAAACCAGACCCAGAAAACTGAAACTTGATCTAAACTCAAGAAAAGAGAGTTCGTACCATATGCAATTCTCCATAGTCTTGCATAAGGCTATGATGCCTAAGCCTGACCTTCGGATCCTCAAAAGGATTAGGGCTCAAGGAAATAAAATCTTTGTGACTTGGATTCATCAGATGAGTAATTACAGAATCACAGAAGGAAAGAGGGAGAGAAATGAAGAGCAAAAGATGAAAACAGAGGAAAGAGAGAAATGGGAGAGAGGAAGGTTCTGGGTTTCGTGTAGAAGTCTAATATCAATCTGAGGATGAGAAGTCAGAGAAGGACAAAGAAGCAGAAAAGAAGGACACATCATGTTGTTGCTGTTGTTGTTGTTGTTGTGAGAAGGAAAGAAAAAAAAAAAAGTAAAAGAAATTAAAATAAAAGGCAAATTTAGCTTTTTTGGATGTGAGTGTGTTGGGTTGAGACAGCAGTGATGAAGATGGAAACAGACTTATGCAGGAAATGGGTAATGACTTCTGCACTAAATTGTGTAATGGGTCAAAGAAAACACATAAAGCAACTTCCTTTTTAAATAAAACTTTTTTTATCAACAACACAACCTCTTTTTTATTAATGGGTTTGTTTGGTTGGAGAAATCTTGAAGAAACCAAACCTCTCTCTTTTGTTTCTTGTGTTCCATTGTCGTCTGTAAATATTAAGTTTTATCTTCATTCAACTGGGTCCATTGAATAGAGACCCATGAGAAATGGAGGTTGAAATATAATTTTCAGACTTCTAATATTAGTATTAGTCAAGAAAAGTCAGATGGTGGAAGAGAAAAAATAAGATTCGACTTTAAGCTTATTAGTTATTTACTGTGTTATATATACGGATTTTGCAGAAAACTCTGCCTTGATTTCTGGAAATTGGTGCTGGGTTTTAGTTTTTTTTTTTCTTTTTAATTACGTCAATGGTTAAAAATTGGAAACATTAAAAAACTCCATCTCCTCACAATCACATGCTTTCCATTTACTCTGTCAACTGCAAAAAAAAAAGAGTTTAAATATCCTAAAGGCAATAGCTTTTTGCGTTTACATCGATGATTCTAGTGTGTTTAATGCATCAATATGAGTCAATATGACAATCAGCTGATGAATAGTTAGTGAAAAAGGGTTTGGTCACAATTTACACACAGCTCTGTAACGGTTAGCTTCTTCATTTTCACGAGCTTTGTTTTTGATGGTCACGTTTTGATTCATGGAAATGATTTGTTTGGATTCAAGAAGCCACATACCTATCTTCACCTATTTATTCTTGCAAATTCTCATCAAATGATTAATCACAAAAACATTAGTAAACTTGTTAGTTATTATAGCCACAATGTCTTCACTAATGATGTGTTGTTTGCTTCTCTTGTTTGGTTTGTTGTCTGAAGGTAGAGAGATTCTGGTGGGAGGCAAGTCTAACACATGGAAAGTTCCGGAATCTAGAGATGAAACACTAAACCAATGGTCAGAGAGAACAAGATTCAAGATTGGAGATTCTCTCTGTAAGTAGTGAGATTTAACTTTGGTACGTACATGGCTCTGTTTTGTTTCTCATAAAAATGTTTTTGTCTTTCAACAGTGTGGAAATACAATGCAGAGAATGATTCAGTGCTACAAGTAAGGGAAAAAGATTACGAGAGATGTGACAGATCAGAGCCTATAAGAGGATACAAAGATGGTCACACGAATATAGAGCTGAAGAGGTCAGGTCCATTTTACTTCATAAGTGGAGAAGAAGGACATTGCCAAAGAGGTGAGAAGCTTCGTGTCGTTGTCTTGTCTCCAAATCATAAGAGAAGCGTTGTTGATGCTCCTGCTCCTGTAAACGTCGACTTGTCTCCAAATTACAACAGAAGCGTTGCTGCTCCTCCTGTAAACGCTCATATCACAAACAAGGGAAGCCTGAACAGAGGAGCATGGAGTTTGCTTCTTCTTCCATTAGGCCTTTTGGTTTAGTCTTGTTAATCACCTCTTAGCCAATTTGGTTCGATTTCGGTTTGTATTTTCCGGTTTACTTGTTATTTTGGCTTATGATTGTGAAGTACTCTGTGTTTAATACAATGTTAGTTTTTGGTTTGGATCTAAATTCAAATTGGAAAGAAAAAATTAGAAAAGGTTTAATGGTTTCTTCTTAAACCGGTTCGGTTACACAATTCTAGTTGTAAACAAAATGTCAATATAAGTGGGCCTTAATGAGAGCTTCTGTCCATTAAAGGCCCATTATTTGAACTGTTAAGCTTAAGCTGGTCCACGATTTACATTAGCTATCTTCTTCGTCTCCGAGACTGAGACCGCTCTCTCTTCCTTATCCTCCATCTTCCAATGGTTTAATCCAGCAATTGTCGACGATGTCGATAACTTACTCCGCTATTTCCTGTAAGTTATTTCTCACTGTGTTTCGAATCCGTACCCAATGCTCAATTTTATTGTGAGCTTGTGGTTGATTTTGGTTTCCGTTGTTTTTCACAGCTGGTACAGTTTCACCTAAAAGTGTACCTTTTGCTATTCGTAGCGTAACCAGGAGGCAATTTCTTAATCCCAACCCTTTTTCTAGATTTGGGTTCTCTCCTTCTCTTCAGGTCAGATTCCTTTGCTAGTCAGTATCAGCCAATCCGTTCTTGTTTTGGTTCTTAGAATAAGACCACACTTTGTTGCTTCATGTGTGGAAGAAGATTGTGTTAAGGAATCTAAAATTTATGTGTTAAACTTAAATTTGAAGTAGAGTGTCAATATCTACTGTTATGCAGGGAAGTAGCATTGAGTTTAGAGTTGTGATTAGTAAAGAGCGTCGATCTCTTCCATTGGTTGTGAGAAGTGATCGTCCTCAGAATGAAGACTTACCTAAGCAGTACACAAGGCGAGAGAAGAAACCTTTCCCGGTGCCAATTGTGGACCTGAGACGAGCCGCGAGGGAGAGAGTCAAGAACAACAAAGACAAACCTAAGAGACCTCTACCTCCTCCTAAAAATGGTATGCTTGTGAAGAGCCTTGTGCCTCTTGCGTATAAAGTGTACTATGCAAGAATCAGATTAATCAACAATCTCCACCGCCTCATGAAAGTTGTTCGTGTTAATGCTTGTGGGTAAAATTCTCTTCTTCTTCTTCTTATTTCATTTTGGTCTGTTTTGAGTGTGGCCTTTTTTGATGTTGTTCGATTGGTCTCTTAGGTGGTGCAATGAGATTCATGTTGGACCTTACGGGCATCCATTTAAGTCGTGTAAAGGTCCCAATGCCTCCCAACGGAAAGGTCTTCATGAATGGACAAACTCAGTTATTGAGGACGTTATTGTTCCTCTTGAAGCCTATCACCTCTATGACCGTCTTGGCAAGCGTATCCGTCACGATGAGAGATTCTCGATTCCACGTGTTCCTGCTGTAGTTGAGCTCTGCATTCAGGGCGGCGTTGAAATCCCTGAATTTCCAACAAAAAGGAGAAGAAAACCAATTATCCGCATTGGCAAAAGCGAGTTTGTTGATGCAGATGAAACTGAATTGCCTGATCCAGAGCCTCAGCCTCCTCCAGTGCCATTGTTAACTGAGTTACCTGTCTCTGAGATCACTCCTCCATCTAGTGAAGAAGAAACGGTCTCCCTAGCCGAAGAAACATTACAGGCCTGGGAAGAAATGAGAGCAGGAGCCAAAAAGCTGATGAGGATGTACAGGGTTAGGGTTTGTGGGTACTGTCCTGAGGTTCACGTAGGTCCAACGGGGCACAAGGCCCAGAACTGTGGTGCATTCAAACACCAGCAACGGAATGGCCAGCATGGTTGGCAATCCGCAGTCCTTGACGACTTGATACCACCAAGATATGTTTGGCATGTTCCTGATGTGAATGGGCCGCCGTTGCAGCGAGAGCTACGAAGCTTCTATGGGCAAGCACCTGCTGTGGTGGAGATATGCGCTCAGGCTGGTGCCGTTGTACCTGAGCAGTATAGAGCTACAATGAGACTGGAGGTTGGAATTCCTTCGAGTGTGAAAGAAGCTGAGATGGTCGTTTGATATGTAGAAGAGGGGAAGAGTTTGTATACTTTTTCTTGTACAAAATCCTACATTCAGCTTTATTATACATTGTTTTATTTTAATATGATTTTTCCAAAGTCGTATCTTCATTTAGCATAATCTGCATTGAGTTCTTTTTACTTGGTCTCAAAGGTAAATATTTTAGTCCTATTTTGGGATGATTGCAGCTTGCTTAATGAGTAGGGTCTGTTAAAGCTCTGTTGTTTCTTTATCGATTTGAGCAAGTGATCGTGGAAGGCTCTTGAGTTCCTTATTAGCAATCATGGCAGGGAAACAAGAAATTTGTGATGTTAGAGCATCCTTTTGTTTGAATAAAGAGAGATCTGACAATTAAGTTTGAATCTGTGATACATACTGTGCTGGTTCTGTGACTAATGAAGCAAATTAATTTTTATTGTGTTTCCTGTGAAAGTATAGTGTGATTTTTTTGAACTATTGCATGACTCCTAATATTATTAGTGCATAATAATCTGAAAGTTCTATTGGTTATACTGGAATGGAATGGATGATCTGGACTTTATAGGTTATCATCATCATCTGTAGCTTTGCAACAGAACTGGGCCGCCAACTTCAGTGGACAACTTCATCCTATTCATGGAAGCGGTGACACATCATAGATCCTTCAAGAAAGGTATCTAAAAGGGTCCCAAAGAGCTTAAATCGATAGGCTGTTCACTGGGTTTCGGTGTTTATCGAGCAGTGTTTCCAGAAGACCTTTAAGTATCTGAAAAGAAATCCCTTTGTACTGCAATAAACTATTCGTCGCGTCATGTATTCTTTCAGTGTTCGTGGACCCTTTTTACTTCTATCTTCCTGTGATTAATGGTGAGTCCAAGTGCCTGGCTATCGACAGAAAACTGGCTATTACAGCTAGTACATTGCGGACTTTTATCGATGTCTTTTTTCTCGCTCACATGGCTCTCCAGCTCAGGACTGCTTATATTGCACCTTCATCACGAGTCTTTGGGCGAGGTGAACTTGTGATTGATCCTGCACAGATGTCAAAGAGATATTTTCAACGTTGGTTTATCATTGATTTTCTCTCAGTACTTCCTGCACCTCAGGTTGGTTGATATAAGTTTAGATCATTTCAGTAATTTGTGTGTTGGAAAACATTATTGCTTAATTTTTTGAGAGGATGCATAAGTTGGTGATCAAACATCTCTGTCAAGGGCTTGCTAGTTTTAGCTTTACATTATTCACTTTGTGTATGTGTGGATAATGTATTGGCTACAAAGCAGGCCTTGCTTTTCATTGTTTTGGTCCAGTATATACCGCGATTCCTATGCGTCTTACCCTTGACTTCAGAATTGAAAAGGACTGCAGGTGTCTTTGCAGAAATGGCTTGGGCTGGTGCCGCTTATTATCTGCTCTTATATGTGCTTGCAAGTCATGTGAGTGTATAGCTTTTTCTTTTCTTTTATAATTGCATTGCTTTCCTTATTCAATGCTTCCCCATTTTACCATGAGTTATGTGACTGTGGCACTTAAAAGTGCAAAACCAGGAATTAGTTTCATCTCTGTTTCATTGTTGTGAACTTATGTTCAAATTAATATTTAGTTTCACAGGTTGGAGATCTCCGGCTAGCAAGATGGCAACCAGAAGGAGATAAAGGAGTGTTAACCCGAGTGGTCGGCACTTTCGGGTATTGAAATTCCATAATCTTAAGTTATTATGCTACCTGATTTACTTGTAGAACACAATAGTCAAGAAGGAAAATATATGTTTTTCTTCATGTATTAAGCATAGAAAGCAGATGTTTTAGTCGATCTTATCACATGATAGTTATGAGTCTGTTAGGATCTTAGGTATTTTGTAGAAACAGAACAAAAAACTAGGAAGAATGAAAATCCAAACCATCCTTATACATCACATTCTTTTTTGAGTCAAGCCATGATGAACACACAATAGTTCTCTTGTTCTATGGCTAAAACCCAAAAGATACAAAAAATTAAATGGTTATGGTGGTCTTTGTTTTTCAGAGATACATGCAAGGAAAAAAAAGTTAAAAGGCTCCACGCATCTCTTCTTTCATTGACTGGAACTCTCAGTCAAGCAAAAACTTAAGTGATAACCTAGAACTAAGCTCTGCAAATTCCTTGCGCATTCTCTTGTAATAAGTTTTAACCTTCCTTTTTGAAGTCCCATTTGCAAAAGACCTTGATATTCTGACGAGCTTCAGTTCAGGGGAACCTTTGAGCAAGAACCTGAAAAACGTTTTATCCTGTTTATTGCCATCAAACTGCCTCCATTCAAACAACTCAAGGTGAGACAAGTTTAAAGGGGAACTTGGCTGTTTCCATTTGTTGTTCTTATACTTCACTGCCTTAACCACATGATTCTCCTGCATACAGTTCAAAAAGAGTGAGATCAACAGCAAAACACAACCATCAACCATCAAGCAACAGGGGATAGAGGCTTATAGAGAATCTAAGAACTCTCATTTCAGGACACTGTTGGAGCAAATCGAGCCAGAAAGACCAAGCATCTCCTCCACATGTGCATAGTGTGAGGTCATGAAGTTGAGTGAAGGAAACCAATGGAATGGCTGATGTGATGTCCCGGTGTAAACACAGATAAAGTCGATTAGCAGACTTTATAGCGTCGAGAAACCTTGTCAAATTCCTAATGCTAAGTTCAAGCGATGCTTCTGCCAGGAAAGGCATATTCCCAATGTCGACAAGAACAGAGCAGCGGTCGCTGATATGGAGGCTGTGAACTGGTGGTGTATCCAAAACGATGGCAACGTTGTCTGAGTAGTCACTGTCTTAAGGCATCTTGATTATCAGCTCTTCTAGGGTAGGAACATGGAGGGTATATTCTCTTTCACAATTAAACCCCCTTAGAACACTACGAACAGAAACTGAAGAGCAGGAAACCCATTAATAGCTTAGAAAAGGTAGGATTCGTAAGTGGCGGAGCTAGTGCATTGATAAAAAATTTAAATTTTCAATTGTAAAATATTAAATATTTTTAAAATGTTTCATTTTCCAAATAAAATATATTTTTAATCGTATTAAGTACTTTTTGTTCTCAATTTTTTCTTATCAAAATGTATAGCATAT